TCCCTCCCTCCCTCCCTCCCTCCCTTCCTTCGACCAATCTAGCCTTGAACTCAAAGATTTGCCAGCCTCTACCTCCTGAGTGCTGGGATTAAAGGAATACACCACTATATTCAGTACACTTTGCATTTTCTGAAACTGGGGCTCATGAATTAGGATAGGCTGGGTGGCCAGTAAGTCCCAGGTATCTGCCTGTGTCATTTTTTTCTAGCACTAGGATTACAAGCACACACCACTATGCCCAGATATTTATCTGGGTTCTGGGGATCAAGCCCAAGACCTCATGCCTGTACTGCAAATTGAACAGTAACTGTGATGGTTATTGTCAGTTGCCAATTTGAAAGACTCTAGAATCTTGTGGGATGGAAAATGACAGACATACCTGTGAGGAATTATCAAGATAAGGCTACCCTCTGAGACTGTCTGTGAGGGATTACCCTGATTATGTTCTTTGGTTCTGGACTGTATGAAAAAGAAAGTGAGCTGAGTAAGCATCCATCGCTTTCTGCTTCCTGTGATCTCATATGAGCAGCTGTTTCAATCTCCTGCTGCCTTGATGTTCCCTCTCGAATTAACTGTATCCTTGAACTGTGAGTCAAAAATAAACCCTTTCTTAACTTGCCTTTATTAGGATATTTTATCACAGCAACAGGAAAAGAAACTAAGATCCCACTGACTGAGCTATTTGCCCAGCTGGTGACTTCTTTTGGTAGCTCATTTGTGTGGCTGAGCATGAACCTTGTAGATGATAATGTGAAAGAAAGTTCCTAGAAAGAACTGTACCTTGGACTGAATTTCCTGCAAGGCTCACCAACTGATTAGCACTCCAGAGATGGAGAGTCTGGAATGTTGGACATCCAGAGCCTATTCACAGATGATCTGGGAAAATCTTTAACCCCAGAAGTAGCCACACCTTGTCTACCTCTGTTTCTGAATTAACATACTTATGACTAATAAAATGTATTAACTTAGCAGACCACCAGGTCTCACTAATCAAAAAGCTAAGAATGTCATCAGATAGTGTAATAGGGCACCTTCTTGACCATAGCTACGACATTAGATAGTGTAATAGGGCACCTTCTTGACCATGTTAAAGTTTAGTTTGACTCTACTCTGAAATTATCAGGCAGTTGGCCCAGGACATGGGAACACATGCAAGCTGGACCCTCGTTATCTTGGGAACAGG